GGCCGGATGTCCCCGAGTGCCGCCCCCGCCCGGGCGGGAGAAGCGGGCATGTGCCTGGGAAGGGGCGTCCGCCCTCTGACCCCGGGTTTGCTCCCGTTTCTTTCTGTCGGGAGGCTGAGCCCTTGCCGGACCCGAGGGCTCCGCACGCCGCGCTCTGAGGCTGCTGCGCTCGGTAAAACCGTAGCCTCCGGGAATTGAGCTTTTTTGATGACTCCGTTTGTGGAGAAAAGATGAGGGAAAATGCTTGGTTGTCAGGCCAGTCCCCCAAACCTTACTTGATGTACGGTGCAGCTCAGGACTCTAATTGCAGGGGAGGAAACGGGTGTCGGTGTTGGGGGTGTCAATGTTGGGGGCGCCTCGTGGGGCGTTTGAATTAGGCAGAGAAACATCAATCACCTGTGTAGCAGGTTTCCAGAAAGTGTATTGGGGGCCCTACTATTGCCTCTCAGGGTTTTCATAACGTTGTATTCTTGCTGATAAATAACTTCTTAAAATCCTCTATCCCATAATTCTAGGATTTGCTTAGTCAGTAAGGACGTATCAGTCCGTTATAGCGAATCTCCATAACGTTGCCAGTGCCTGAGTCTGCGTTTTTTCCCCTGCATTTATCGTCTTTAAAGGAAATACAAGGGCCGTCTGAAAGTATCCAGACACGTAATATGAAAAATGGAGACATTTATTATATCCACAGTAGCGGGATGCTTTGTGGACAGCCCTCGTATTTCTGTGAGCTACAGTGTTAATGTAGAAAACTGCATACAGTTTGAGATAATAATTACTAAAAAATAAGTAGTGTCACCATTACCAGGCTTCAGATTGCCCCCAGCTGACCGTAACTCTATCCGCCCCTTTAATCACTCACCTGACTTAAATTATCAGTCACCTGACAGAAGTTATTTGCTTGCTGTTTCCTTATATGTTTGCCACCTGTATACACTCTTACCTGTTTGGAATAGTACTGTATCTATGCTTTGTATTGTTTCTGTTTGTTCAACGTTATGTGACCCACATCTTTGTCACACATGGTTGCAGTCCTTTCATTTTGTTGCTAACTTTATGTTGTTGAATGAACAGTCCAGGTTCGTCCGTTCTCTGTTGCTGGACCTCCGGGTTGGTTGAGTTTGGGACTGTTAGGGTTAGGGCCGGCATTCTTGTCCGTGTGTGCTGGTGCACAAGTGCATAAAGGGGAATGAATTTCTAATCTTCAACTGTGTTAATTAATGGCGAATGCTTTTCCAGAGTTGTTTGAGTTGGGATTCCTGCTAGCAGTGTATAAAGCGTTCCTGGTAACGTTAAGCTTTTTAATTTTCACCCATTTGGTAGCTATGTAATGGGATTTTGTTGTAGTTTGAGTTTCTTGCT